GGCTTGTGCTTGCATTCTTACTGTCAGCAATTTTACAGAGTTAAATATTGCAACTTTACTGTCTTTGGTAGTTTTGGCACAGCATTTGACCTTCCTTAATATTTGTCTTACATTGAAAGGTGGCCTTAAATATTTTCTGTTGGCCTACAGAAAATTTTAACAAGGGTCAGAATTTTGACTTATATTGAAAGGTGGCCTTAAAGATTTTCTGTTGACCTATAGAAAATTTTAGCAAGCGTCAAAATTTTGACCATATTTCTTGTTTGTTGATATCACAGCAATAATGCTGATGATAGCTACAAATGTAAGTACCAGATTATATTTTACCAGGTGTATTGGTTAATAATGCGGATTTTGTAATAAAAGAAAACACGATAATTTCCAGAGAAACATCAAAAGTGCTTTATTCAAAATAATGTCCATCGCTAGCTATATATTCCCTTCTCTTCCCTCCTACCCCCCAAATTTCAGGTACCTTGTGGTTTACCTCAACTTTATGTTTTGAGGTAAGCCATTCAGAGATGGAATTTTCCACTTCTTTGTATGTTTTGAAGTGCTACTCAGAAAGTATGTGTGCTATCAATTGGAACAAGTGGTAATCTGAAGGAGCAAGGTCTGGTGAATATGGTGGGTGGGTTAATACTTCCCAGGCAAGATCTTTTAATGTGTTTTTAACTGGGTTTGAAGTGTGTGATGATGTGTTATCATGAAGCAAAATTACTTTGCCATGTCTTCTGGCACATTCTGGTCCTTTCACGATCAAAGCATTCAAATTGATTATTTGTTGTTGGTAGTGATCAGTATAAACTGTTTCACCTGGTTTTAGAAGCTCATAATACACCACACTTTCCTGATCCCACCATATGTAGAACATTGTCTTCTTTCCAAAGCAATTTGGCCTTGCAGTTGATGTTGATGGTTGACCTGGATCAACCCATGTTTTTGTGCATTTGGGATTCTCAAAATAAATCCACTTTCATCGCCAATTACAGTTTGATGGAAAAAAGACTTTCTTTCGTGCCGTTGAAAGACAGTAAATGTTGATGACTTTTCGGTTTTCCATTTTTCTTTTGTTCAGTTGATATAGCACCCATTTTCCTTTAAAATCTTTCCCATTGCTTGTAAACTATCTGAAATTGTTTGCTGAGCAAGGTTTAATCTTTCTGCAAGTTCTTTTTGAGTTTGCTATGCATCTTCATCCAGTAATGCTTGTAATTGTTGGTCTTCAAACTTTTCAGTTGACCTGGACGTTCTTTGTCTTTCATATCAAAATCATCACTTTTAAAGCTTAACCCAGTGTTCACAAGTATCTTAAGATGAAGCATGTTCACCATAAGCTTCCCGAAGTATATGATAACTTCAGCAGCACTTTTCTTCAAAATAATGAATTAAAACTTCCCACAAATGCTCTTTTTTTTGGCACGAAATTTGACATTTTTAAGCGTAAAAATATTTATGATGTTAACTTCAGAATATTTGACATATAAAGTTTTGAAGCTTGCTGTCAATACAACAAAATAGCATACATAGCAAATCGCATGTATATCAACATATGTGTAATTCCCATCTGTTGAAAAAAATCCGCATTATTAATCAGTACACCGGTATCAATGTAATAGGTTGTTTTTCAAACTTCTTTTCTTACCACTTGATGATTACAGCTCAACTTAGAGTGCCATGTTAGGTAAGCCTCTGCTGGTTAGTATGGTTATGTCTTGCCTTTAGAAATCTTAGAATTTATTCCTATACTATTACATAATCATTGTATTTGTGTTGATAACCTGTGCAAACTTTGGCTTCGAGATTGACATCCTATTTGTAGATTTTCTTAGGAATGCTGACATTCCTTATAATTAATCAATCATCACTTTAAATTATATGAAAATAAATGATGTCCAAATGCTAGTGAAATTTCAAATGAAAATACTGACATATAAAATGTACCATATTTTTCATTAAAAATAAGAGAAGCAGATGATCACTTGATTAGTTTATAAGACTGCCCAAAGGAATAGGTTGTTGAGTAATAAATTCCTATAATTCCTTATACATTTATATATGAAACTAATGATGACATAGGGCCTTTATTCATGGTACCTATTACTACTCATGGGAGAAATTTATCTTATATATTTTACTTTCTAAACCAACAAGAAAATCATTTGTATTATTTAGGTAATAAAATACAAAGAAGAAAAAAGTAAATTACTTCTTCATTATCAATCTGCTGTTTTCACATCCTCCTATCTTCTCAGGGTCTAACTAGTCCAGTGCAAGAATAGAGATTAGTTGATATACAGTGTTACTGGATTATTTTGGTAAATTTTCTCTGAGAAGCTCAAAGCTTTGCAGAGTGGAAATAATTCAATAACTATTAGCCTACCCTACAAAGGTGAGAATAATTAAATACAATATGCTATGACAACATTTTTGCCCGTAAAGAGCCCCAGAAAACTCCAGTAGAGACCAAGATAGCCATTAATCTAATAAGAATTAAGGATTTTTCTTTCTTGACTTTCCTACAGGAAAAAAAAAAAAAAAGAAGAAGAAGAAAAAAACAAAACCCAGAAGCAATTTACAGTCAGGAAAAGAATACGTCAGGATTTTAGTGTGGCCACAAAAAATTTGAGTGTAGGGCTCTAAAATTTCCCATTTTTATAGCTGCTTTTTGCCTAGTTTGGGAGCAAAGAATTTTGTGGTATTTAGAAAAAGAGAGACAGTATCTTTTACCTTATCACATTTTGTTTCTGAGTCATGAAGAGGTCAGGAAATGGAGAAATAGGCATGAAAGAATATGGACAGCAGAGCAACAATGACAGCGCCCATATACATAGTACGAAGGTTATCTAAGAGTAGCTACCAGGAAGAAAACTAGAGGTTTACACTCCTGTCCCTCTGAACTCTAGAAGTCTTGAGTTCATGGTACATTTTTTTAAAAATATATTTTATTGATTTTTTTATAGAGAGGAAGACAGAGGGATAGAGAGTCAGAAACATCGATGAGAGAGAATCATCGATCAGCTGTCTCTTACACACCCCTACTGGGGATGTGCCCGCAACCAAGGTACATGCCCTTGACCAGAATCGAACCCGGGACCTTTCAGTCCACAGGCCGACACTCTATCCACTGAGCCAAATCGGTTTCGGCCATGGTACACTCTTATTGCATCCAGCTAATTTATGCCTTCTAGATTACTACTTGGTGGCAAGGAATCCTCATTTCTCTAGAACAGTGTTTCCCAAAGTGTGGTACGCGTACCCCCAGGGGTATGGGAAGAGTTTGGTGGGGGTAAGGGTTGCACCGGAGTTTGGTGGGGATATGCACTGCACCGTGCTTAGCTGCGCCTAATTCTACATTCTCATGAGTACGAGGGTTACTCAGCATTACGAAAATTATAGAAGGGTACACATATGTCAAAAGTTTGGGAAACACTGCTCTAGAACATGACCACCATAGTGCTTCATTGATAGTGACTTAGACTGTTCAAAGTACTTGGTGTACTGTAGGCAGTTTTTTGAATAAAAAAATTGAGGGAAAATATGGACAAAAAGAACTTTTTCCTACACCATATTTTGTCCTCTCTGGCAGGTTCCGTGCCTTAATGCAATTTTGTTTTATATATTTACAGAAACTCAGCATAAAAATAAACATTTTCTACAATGAAAAATCTCATGCCTACCATCTCCCCTCCCCTTTTTATGCATGTGATTTCCGTTACCATGGCTGTTGTGCTGACCTTACATTTCTTAGTTTCAGCTTCCTTTTCCCCCCCCTGCATTTAATATTGGTGTGTGGTTATTGCTATTTGATCTTTTCTTTTTCTCTACTCTTTTATTATACCCCAGTTAATGTGTGACTTTTTTGCTTTTGAATTTTTGTGGATATATAGGAAGCTTCTGTCAGGGATGATATTATTCAGAGAAAGGGAGTTCCTAGAATATCTTTTCTTGATAGCTGGTACTGAGCAAAACTCTATCTGGATCATTCACTCAAGTGGTGCCCCAGGGTCATTAGTGCTTCAACAGATAGTTCAGCTATAAGATATATATATTTTTTATTTTCTTCTTAAAAGAGCAAACTTTTCAGCTAGTGACTTTGATGAATATGAATGGTAACTAGAAATTCCTCTTTTCCATTAAAATATACACAGATTTTGATATCTACTTATTATTACGGTTTGAATTTATTGGGTTTTAGCAGATGAATTAACTGTGATTATGAATGAGAGGGATTAAATCACCTCAGCAAGCTTATACATATTGAATATTATGTTCTCTCTTGATTTCCCAAGCAATGGCTGTTTATCAACTATTATTATTATTTTTAAAAAATACATTTTTATTGATTTTAGAGAGGAAGAAAGAGGGAGAAAGAGAAGCATCCATGATGAAAAAGCATCATGGATTGGCTGCCTCCTGCAAGTCCCCCATTGGGAATCAAGCCCACAACTCAGGCATGTGCCCTTGACCAGAATTGAACCTGGGACCTTTCAGTTCGCATGCTGATGCTCTACCCACTGAGCCAAACCGGCTAAGGCTATCAACTATTATTGTGGTTTCCATTCCAACATGATTGCTCTAGTATTCAGTTTTTCATATATTAAAACTTGAGGGATTTAAAACAAAAACAAAAACCACGCATTGCTGTTTTCATTTCCTATGTACTTATTTCTGAGCTTTTTCTCTTATTCTAAAAAATAATCATTACCCACTATCTAAAAAACTGTCTTTTAATCTACTGATTAAAGATTGCTTAATGATAGTGCTCATTTGTTGGCTAGTGGCATGTTTTTCTTTAACACGGGAGTTTCTGCATGGATTTATAATATGAAGTTCTTCTTCTTCTTCTTCTTCTTTTTTTAAGCATTAGATAGGCATGAAGCCTCCATCTCACAGCTGCATGTGTAGTTACTATTGAAGCAAATGCCTACCTAATTTGACAGTCTTGGTGTGTTTAAAATTTTTGAGTTTGCAAATAAGCATATTAAGTCTACTTACTGATGGAGCCTTCGGGCAGTGAACAGTTATATGAGGACCCTGATCCTGGAGGCAAATCCCAAGATGCAGAGGCCAGAAAGCAGACAGAATCAGAACAAAAGTTGTCTAAAATGACTCACAATGCTTTGGAGAACATTAATGTGATTGGCCAAGGCTTGAAGCATCTCTTCCAGCACCAGCGCAGGAGGTCATCTGTGTCTCCACATGATGTGCAACAAATTCAGGCAGATCCAGAACCTGAAATGGATCTGGAAAGCCAGAACACATGTGCAGAGATTGATGGTGTCCCCACCCACCCCACAGCTCTGAACCGTGTCCTGCAACAGATCCGAGTGCCACCCAAGATGAAGAGAGGGACGAGCTTGCATAGTAGGCGGGGCAAGCCAGAAGCCCCAAAGGGAAGTCCCCAAATCAACAGGAAATCTGGCCAGGAGATGGCAACTGTTATGCAGTCTGGCCGACCCAGGTCTTCATCCACTACTGATGCTCCTACCAGCTCTGCTGTTATGGAAATAGCTTGTGCTGCTGCTGCTGCTGCTGCATGTCTTCCAGGGGATGAGGCAGCTGTAGAGCGGGTAAGTCTGTTAGCGTTTCTTTTTCTGTTATGTTCTTTGTATCTAGGATTCTTTAAACTTTTCGTTGGTAACTAAAAAGAGATAGCAAGAGATATCTCAAAGTTGTGGTAAAAGATAGTTCCTGTTTCTGTTAAAGGGAATGATAATAATTATTGCAGCTAATGAATGCATGCTTATAATTATATTCCTATTTGCTTCCTAACATATAGCTATATTTTGTTTATTTTACTCCTTTTGCTAAAATCATCAGTATACTTTATGTGTTTTTCATGTCTTAAAAGTCTCAGTTTTATGGTAGAAGAATAAAGATGCTTTGTTGTTGCTTTGGTTTTGCACATGAATTGGCTTTCTTACATTAATGAAGGTAATGAAAAAAGTTCTAGAATCTGGCTGTGTCTGCTTAGTGTGGAAATAGAAATTGCTAATAATTTTCATACATACTGTGCCATGCAATATACATTTTGCTTTCTGCAGTAGAGCATATGCATTCTTTACTTTTTAGATAGTGGATTTCACACTTTATTTTTAAAAATATGTTTCGATTGATTTTAGAGAGAGAAGGGGAGAATGAGAGAGAGAGCGAGAATAAGAGAGAGAGAAAGAGAGAGAGAGAGAGAGAGAGAGAGAGAGAGAGAGAGAGAGAGAGAGAGAAACATCGATGATGAGAGAGAAACATCAACCACTTCCTGCAAGGCCCCCTATCAGGCATCAAGCCCACAAACAGGGGACAAGAAAAGGGGAAAAGAAAGTTTTTCCTTTTTTCAAATATTGGTAACTAGATCAACTTGTTTGAATGAAGGCAGAAATCTGAGCAGTGACAAAGGCTGATTTCAACACTACCCTGTTTGGTTTCTTTTATTCTTGTTGTTTCTTATGTTATTACTTCTAAATAACGTGTATTTTTCCAATGAGTAGTAGTGGAAATAAAATACTGGAATGATTCCCTAAAGTTATTTAAAACTGTTCATCCTTATAATATAAGCAATGACATTCTGGATTCTCAAATATCTAAACAAAATAATAAGAACAAAAAAGTAATTATTTACAATATATAAGATAAGGTCTCTTCTGTTTAAAAAGTTAGCCAGTTAAATAAATAATCTCCATGGAGCTATTTCTGCATAGCAAGGTTGAGGGTGGGGTGGAAAAGAGCTCAAATTAAAGTCTCACATTAACCATAATATAATGTTGCATAATTATAGTTAAGAAAGGAGAATGAAGGTGAGAACTATTCCTGTATCATCTTTCTTATTGCCATAAAACACCAAGAAGCTTGCCTTGAGAATACTGAATTTTAATGACTCATTTGATAATTGAGAATCTTTTCCATATATTTGGTAATTTTGCAAGAATGTTTTGTGGAAGTGAATTTGTTTTAATGTCATTAATATGGGATCATACTCAAGCTTGTTGAGTATATAATGTATGCAAAGACTTCTATGTATAAAATATAATTTAAGTTGCATGTCAGTTTTTTGAGGTAGGTCTGGTCTCCATTTTTACAAACAAGGCAATTAGAGCTTAGGAAATTTTATTTATTTATTTATTTGTTTATTTATTTAATTTAAAAAAATACATTTTATTGATTTTTCACAGAGAGGAAGAGAGAGGGATAGAGAGTTAGAAACATCGATGAGAGAGAATCATCGACTAGCTGCCTCTTGCACACTCTCCACTGGGGATGTGCCCGCAACCAAGGTACATGCCCTTGCCCGGAATCGAACCCGGGACCTTTCAGTCCACAGGCCGACGCTCTATCCACTGAGCCAAACCGGTGCTGGCAAGCTTAGGAAATTTTAAAATTTACTTAGACCAGAGAGCTCGTCCATGGCTAAGTCTAAGTTCTTTGCTCATTCTACCATAGCACAGCTGCCTCAATATTGTAAGTTTTTATTATGTATTTAGTGGGAAAAATGTAATATAAAGATAGAGCGTGTAGGAGATCTTAGAAGGATCTAGACTGCCAAAAATTTAGTAACCTACCAACTAGTTGGAAGATACATCTAAGGAAGCAAATTTTCCTAAAACATCTAAGAAAAATTAAACAATTTGTTTTAACAATTAAAACAAGATTTGAAGCCCCAAAACTGACTCTTGTAGTAGAAATGAGTAAGGTAGAAATTTGGATAAAAACCCCCACCCTGATCTGGGACACTCTTCAGGGCAAACCAGCTGGCCCCCACCCATGCATCAGGCCTCTATCCTATCTAATAAAAGAATAATATGCAGATTGACCACCACTCCAACACACAAGATGGCTGCCCCCATGTGGAAAAAGATCTTGCCTCTATGTGGACACAAGATGGTCACCACAGGATGGCCAGCAGGGGGAGCAGTTGGGAGAGACCAGGCCTGCCAGGGAGGGCAGTTGTGGGTGATCAGGCAAGCAAGAGAGGACAGTTGGGAGGCACCAGGCCTGCAAGGGAGGGCAGTTGGAGTCAATCAACCCTGCAGAGTAGGGCAGTTAGGGATGACCAGGCCAGCAGAGGAGGGAAGTTGGGGGCAAACAGGCTGGCAGGAGAGCGTTAGACATCAATCAGGCTGGCATGGGAGTGGTTAGGGGGTAATCAGGCTGTCAGGCAGAAGGGGTTAGGGCAATCAGGAAGGCAGGCAGGTGAGCAGTTGTGAGCCAGCAGTCCTGATTGTGAGAGGGATGTCCGACTGCCTGTTGAGGCCCGATCCCATAGAGATCGGCAGTCAGACATCCCTCAAGGGGTCTTAGATTGGAGAGGTGCAGGCTGGACTGAGGGCTACTACCACTACCCTCTCTCCCTGTGCACGAATTTCGTGCACCAGGCCTCTAGTAAAAAATAAAGAAGAATCCCAGATGAAAATTTATTAAAACAGTAGTAGTGGCCGAAACCAGTTTGGCTCAGTGGATAGAGCGTGGCCTGCAGATTGAAAGGTCCCGGGTTCGATTCAGGTCAAGGGCATGTACCTTGGTTGCTGGCACATCCCTGGTGGGGGATGTGCAAGAGGCAGCTAATCGATGTTTCTGACTTTCTATCCCTCTCCCTTTCTCTCTGTAAAAAATCAATAAAATATATTTAAAAATAAAAACAACATTAGTAATGGTTACTTCTGTATGGTGATATATTAACAGATTTTCTTATTCTTTATAATTTACTGTATTCTCTGTATTATAGGAAGCATTTTATTAGAACATATCAAATTGCAAGGAATGATTATAAATGGGGAATAAATAGTTCAAGTTTATTTTTACAAAATGGAATAGAAAAACAAGTAGAATTTAATTAGATGGAAAGATCAGGGAATTTGTGGGTATGGGTAAGATTGAAGGAAGAGAGAAGATAATCCAGAATGTCTTAGAAACTTTTAAGTTTTATAGAGCTGCCCTAACCGGTTTGGCTCAGTGGATAGAGCGTCGACCTGTGGACAAAAGGGTCCCAGGTTCAATTCCAGTCAAGGGCATGTACCTTGGTAGCAGGCACATCCCCAAAAAGGGGCTGTGCAGAAGGCAGCTGATCAATGTTTCTCTCTCATCGATGTTTCTAACTATCCCTTTCCCTTCCTCTCTGTAAAAAATCAATAAAATATATTTAAAAAAAAATAATGTTTTATAGAGCCATCAAGCACTATCTTAGTTTTTTTAAGTCATTCATTCAGTAACTATTTAAGAGCCCAGTAGTTGTCAGCATACCACTGAACATTTTAGGTTCCTGAAGAGGGGGATGCAGACAGGGGAGATACAATACAGTGTAGTAAGGAAGAAGCAGTTGGAGAAAGGACTTGGTGAGTGTTGTTAGAGGCTTTCTTGAAGAAACAGAAGTCTAAGCTGAGATTTGGGGTAAAGTTGAAAGTAGTGAGATGTCTAGAGAGGGAAAGTGGAGGCTAGCACATGAAGCACCTTGTAAACTAGTTTAAGGACTTAATTTTATAATGTTTAAATATTTTGTATAAATCATGCTAGTTGTTATTTTGTTGTTATTTAGTTGGTAGGCACTTAGTAGACACATAATAAACTCTCTCCCCATCTTTCTTCTCCCTTTTCTTCTCTCCTTTTCTCCTTTGTATGTATTCACTGCAGGTGATGCATGGCATAGTTGTTTTTTTTTTTTGAGGGAAATTAATGCAAACCCCAAAACATTGCTGATACAAAAGGAGACAACTTTAATTTAGCATTTTTGAAAGAGCCATGTCCAATTTATCAAAATAAAAATGTTATTTGACATGGTTGGCTATTCTTTAAATCAGCCATCATGATGAGTTAGTTATGGAACTGAATATGATGTAGTATTCAAAAAAATTTTTAATTGTCAACAACTTTTAATGTCTTACCACTTATTAATTATACTACTTGCATGGGTATTTATATCGACAGGGCCTTGGACTTTTGTAAATAACTACACAAGTTACTTCATCTTATGATAGATGAAATGTGAATCTTTAATGTTATCTGTTGTGGGATTCCCAAAAGAAATTCGTTTTTGCAAGACAGAAATCTTATATCATTTAAGGAGCCTGAATTGCCATAGGGAATCTTGAAACTGGCAGCACTGTTTACTAAACTTTCTGAAAATGGATTTCCTTCCTCTTTGTGTTAAAGGAAGACAATAATCAAAAGAATTAGACCAAGCTGGTTAGGCTTTTGGATAGACTGTCAGCCTGCGAACTGAAGGGTCCTGGGTTTGATTCTAGTCAAGGGAACATGCCCTCGTTGCAGGCTTGATCCCCAGGAGGGCCGGCCGATCAGAGATCCTCTCTCATCATTGATGTTTCTAATTCTCTTTTCCTCTCCCTTCCTCTCTGAAATCAATAAAAACATATTTTTTTTAAAAAAAATCAAAACTTCTATGAAGAGAGAACCTATCATATTATTATTTATAAGTAGTGGGCTATTCATTCTTTGGTTAGTTTATAGAAAAATAGTTAACAGGTGCAATTTAGCAAAAGAAGAATAAATGAATTTCATTATGTTCTACATTCCTATTCCACAAACAAAATAATATTCTGAACATTCTAACCTTATGACATGTCTA